TAATAATATAACTATACAAAGTGGCATGATGCTTAAATAGTTTGATTTAAAAATGTGAAATAAGACATATTTCTAATTTTATTTATTTATTTCATTTTTCAGATGTGTTTACTACATTATTTCTGTCTGGGCCACTTGAGTCAATATAAGACTGTTTTTCCAGCTGCAGTAATTTATATTTGGCCTCTGTTCTGGAACTTTCCTAACTGTGCAGTATGGAAAGCCAAGATGGCGGGAGAGCGGCAGCATCAGTAACAACACTTTCCTTCCTGTTAAAAGGGAGTTTTTCCTTCCCGCTGTCACCAAGTGCTTGATCACTGGGTGGTGTCTAATTGTTGGGGTTTTCTCTGCATTATTGTAAAGTCTTTACAATATAAATCACCTTGAAGTGACCGTTGTTGTCATTTGGTGCTATGTGAATGCAATAAAATTCAGTTCAGTTCAGTCAGCTGGTCTGGCTGGCTGAGTTGACTCACGGCCTCAGCCAGTTGCTGTTCCTTACAAACTTAGATTATAACAACAGTGTTGTGCTTTGGCAGCAGATGAGCTGCTTTCATCATCGAGTTGCAATTGATTTCATTGTTGCCGTTTCAGGTGGTGGTTCTGACCGACCCCAGTGCTCCATCAGCCTCCTCCCCCAACAGCTCAGTGGGACTGGCCAACATCACAGTCACGCCCATCACCAGCCACGCCCCTGCCCAGTTTACCAGCCTGCAGCTAAACATCAACCTTGATAAAAACATCAAGTTCACCAGGGAAGACACAAAGGACAACTGTCTGCCTTTCCTGGACTGCGCTGTGCACATTGAAGAGAACGGCAACCTCAACATCGAAATTTACCGGAAGCCCACACACACGGACCAGTACCTCCTTTTGACTCCCATCACCCTCTGGAACACAAACTTGGAGTAATTAGGACCCTACACCACCGGGCAGAACATGTTCCCTCTCAACCTGAAGGAAAAAAGAAGGAACAACACATGTAAAGGAAGCACTCAAAACGTGCGGCTATCCTAAATGGGCGTTCTTTAAAGTCAGCAAAGAGGCACAGAAAAGAAGACCAGACACCAGCGAGGGAGGATAAGAAGGACAGACGTTATTATTATTATTATTATTATTATTATTATTATTATTATAGATGTTGATGGAAAGGAGAACAACAAGACAAAGTCAGGACATTTATTTTGAAACTTCTGTTTGAGTCATCGCCACCACAAAGGCTGTTGTTTTCCTCTTTTCTGTTTTTTAACGATTTTGTTCCCTTTTTACTAAATTGCAAATTTCTTCTTAACCGTTTGTGTTTGCCTTTAAACTTCAGATCCACACCGGTATGCAGCACCAGATCATCTGGCCCTGCCAGCCTTACTGCGTTCCTCTGGATGAGAAACTGCTGCCTCAGCTCATGAAGGAGGCGGGGTATGCCACACACATGGTCGGCAAGTGGCACCTGGGCATGTACATGAAGGACTGCCTGCCCACACGCCGTGGCTTTGACACGTACCTTGGTTTGTATAATGTGGAAGAAACACTTCACGGAGCACATTTTGCATGAATGCTACTCAGTAACAGCTCATGTGTTTATCTTTGTGTAAAATCATGCACATAGTAAGTGACGATTGCCTTAGTTACACGTCACCTTCATGATACATTTGAATCTTTTGCATTTGAACTAAAAATATTAGATCGTGTATTAAAAGTGAAGTTACCCAACAGTTAATGCAAGGTTTTTGTTCACCCCAATCATTAATGCTGACACCTTAGATGCTAAGGCCACATGCTAAAAACTGAAGAGGGCTTAGATGAAGATGTTTGACTTCACTGAAGAGGACACTGTTAAGTGAATAAATCCAGTTCTAAACATGCGGAGGACAAAAGCACCGTTTGGACTAGAGCATAGCGCCTTAAGGGAGGACTGTTCTTGCGAAGGTTTAGCCATCTTGTTTTTTTGAACAATTTTGTTGACAAATCAACACGTATACCTCTGCTGAGGAAACTTTCCTAACCGCTTGCTGCATTGCTCGCTGTGTGTCATGCCAAAGTCTGCAATTTCTTCACATGTGAAATGAGCTCCTCAGTAGCTGACCACAACTACAGCATTTTTATTGTAGCCTTTGTTTATCCCAGTAAGAGTCAAATTGAGAATTTAAGTCTTCTTGTTTTTTAAAGAGTGACATAAATTAAAACTGCGACTATTAAAAATGCTTCCCTATACTACTGGTCCAGAGGTCGAACAGTATTATAGACATTTTGCATTATTTTTAAATAATATTATGTATTTAATGATTTTTGTTTTTAATTTTTGAGCACATACAGTACTTTCCCATCTATATTTAAAGCCTAACAAAACTAGTGTCATTATTTATCTGGCATCTTGATCGTAGTCTCATCGATCACGTCCGTCTGTTCTCAAACTACCCAATATACACACACGTCTGAATGACACGTGCTATATAAACTGCCAGTACCAGAATTCTCAGTATCTATGTGGCTTTTGGGAATCATTTCTGTCACATTCAGATCTTTACGAATGATAAAAATTCTGTGTCGTAGCAGACTTCAAAACAAACGACGACATTACGTGTAAATTTTGCTAATAGAGTCTGTAATGGACAGTGAATATGTAGCTTACAGAGAAGAATAAATATGTAATAAATATTTAATATTCTTTGGTTTTTTTGCCATCTCACTATATAAAGTGATATAATGAACATATAAAGAATAACAGGATAAATTACCATACATGACTGTGCTTTCAATGTTTTTAAAGCTGTTTTTAATGTATTGATTACCCGCTGTGTGCCACAGGTTACCTGACAGGTGGTGAGGATTACTTCACTCACTTCCGCTGTTATCAAAGCCGCTCGCTGAACCTGAGCCGCTGTGCGTTGGACCTTAGAGATGGGGAAGACGTCGCCACAGGATACGAAGGGGTCTATTCCACTGAGCTGCTGAGCCAGAGGGCCATCAGCATCATTGAGAGACACAACTCTCAAAAGGTGACACACAACATCTCATCACATACATTAACTGTGAAACTGCTAGCCTAACCAATTCGTAGAGTTAACCTTAGTTATCTTAATCATAATCCTAGATTTAACATGTATAGAAGGCTATCAGCTCAGACATCAGATGATGTACGCTGGCACTAATGTTACGCTTGATTTTTAAATGCTGATTTTATTTTTTTATTTATTTATTTTAATCTCATCCAAGAATTATCTTTATTGTTTCTTTAAGCTTGTTGAGCTCAGCCTCTCATTTGGAGTAATATCACAACTGTGGGTTTTTGGGGGGGGGGGGCATTTAACGTCTGTAATGACAACAGTGTGAATGTTCTGTCCCCGTTTCCCTCTATCTTTCAGCCACTCTTCATGTATGTGGCGCTGCAGGCGGTCCATGCACCCCTGCAGGTGCCAGAGCGCTACGTGACTCCCTACAGTTTTATCACAGACACCAATCGCAGGCTCTACGCCGGCATGGTGTCAGCTATGGATGAGGCGGTGGGCAACATCACCCTGGCTTTACAGAAAGAGGGACTCTGGAACAACACGGTCCTTGTGTTCTCAACTGGTATGAGTTTAATTATTAGTTGTTGGTTTTTTTTTGGTTTTTTAAACTGAGATGCTAGATAAACCACTATTTGTTTTACAGTTGTTGTTTTTTTTTCTTTAGAAATAAATGCATTATATAGCTGAGCACTAATTAGAGCTGTGTCTCAGTGCCTTCTATCTCTTCATGTTATCCCAAAATTGACTCCATGATGTTGAAATCAGTCTCCACGAGCTGAAAGAGATCTCAAATGTCCCAGATTTATTTATTTTAAGTTATCTTGGCTGACAGCTGTATTTCTGCGGATGCCCACTAGTGGGCGGTGTTTCGCTATGTTTGTTCAAACCTCACTGCCGGCTGATAGAAGTAAGGAAAACTTTTCTTAGCTCATGTCTTCGTGTAGAGCTCTACAGGCAACTCGCCGAGAAAAAGACAAAGGAAAAACATCTAATAAACCTTTGATGAAGAACGTAATGTGGCCAAGACGGGCCATAAACCACATCATTTAAACCTGTGCCTGCTCGCAGGTTTCCACACGTGGAGCATCTAATGATTTGCATCTGAAGTAGGTAACTACGTTTGAGGGTTATTTTTAGGGGGTTTAGTGTTTTTAAAGGGTAATTAGAAGACAGGAACAATGCTGTGAAAGTAAAGTGTGAGCGTTTTTATGCCTGTGGTGGGCTACGGTAGGTGGCCTGTTTCATTGTTCCTTTACACATTTGGCTCGCTGTGATTCTGAGGATTGAGCCAACCATATGCTGGGCAGACACTGACTCTGCTGATCTGAAGCAGTGGAAAAACTCAGTACTTCCTGCTTCTGTGTAAATGTGGTGCAGAGCTTATGTAATCTGTGATTTGACCAGATAAATGTTTAACTATAACTTACTGAAAGAAGGCTTATCAGTTGTTTGATTAGTCACATTTCCAGCTCACACTTTGAATTCATCCTGGTCAAGCTGTTATCACTGACTAAGCTTAACAGGACAGAATTGGCAGAATTTGGTTTGGTTGGACTTTGAGTTTCCTTTATGATGACATTTTCTGTAAACTGACAGCCTCACTGGGAATTTACTGTAAGCAAATGAGCAAGGAGGATGAAGGGACCTTTTGGGGGAGCTGGGAAAGACAGAGTTGGCCTGTAGAGAGGCGAAGCAGCTTGAAAAGACATTAAGAAGCAGACGGTCTTTTCCAAAAACCGTTCGGGAATCGACACAGACTACTTCCTGGACTTGGATGACACTTTGCCTGTGAAAGGGGAGCCTTGCCTGGATGTGACTGGTCAAGAGTATTTATACTGGATCGGCTTATTGGGATGATGACAGTCTAACCGCCTGTGTGTGCACTTGTGTAATGGTTGGATATTTTATAGGTGTATTTGTCAGACAGTGAGACAACATCGGCGTGTTGTTTTAACGTCTCAGCTGATCACTTGTTTTCAGCAATAGCAGCCCTGGGGAGTGCACTGACAGCTGCTTCATTGATTGTTCAAACTGAAATCCTTCATCGCTTGGATGGATTGCTATTGAATTTTTACAGTCATGTTACAGAGTACATGAATCCCTAATGACTTTAATGATGCTTTGACTTTAGCTCAGCACCACATGAAGTTCCCCAATAATTGCTGATCACTGGACTTTATGTAGTTTTATTAAAAAACAAAATTCATAGATTTGCAGTGAAATCTATAGAAGATTGTTCTTCACATGACTGTATGTCACACATCTGAAATTGACAACAACAAAATAAAACCCTGTGTAGCCCCCATAGCAAATTGGCACATTACATTGTGTCAGCTGTGAAACTTTGTAATGTTGCAGCTTGTTGATGCTGTTCATTTGCTATAAGGTTAAAGGCTACAGTTGCTGCTATAGTCACAGTTGACCTTATTGGCATACAGTGATCAGTGATTCAGCTCACTTGAATTAGGTAACATAAAGTGGAAGGATATCAGCTGACTGGATAAAATGTTATCAGGTGATAGGAGTTTCCTGTTGCTTTTTTGCCTTAAAAAAAAAAAAGAAGAAGAAAGAAAACAACTTCTTTATGTATTTGCTTAAAGAGTATTTGACTCATCAAAACCTGAGCACATATCGCTTAGATGGGGTTTCCACCTTTAAATTCATTTTCATGGTTTCCCACATGTCTGCTGGAAATATAAAATGTTTGGCTGATGTACAATCAACATTCAGAAACCGAATTTCCACAGAGTGACATTGGAACCTGAACATATATGAAATCCACACTCTGGGAAATTTTGAACATTGTTTCAGTATCTACAAATGATCTTCATACCTTTTGCCCCTGTGGTTGTTTCAGATAATGGAGGTCAAACGCTGTCTGGTGGCAGCAACTGGCCTCTGCGAGGGAGAAAGTGGTCACTATGGGAAGGAGGAGTCCGAGGCGTTGGATTCGTTGCCAGCCCGTTACTGAAACAGCCGGGTACCGTGAACCGTGAGCTCATCCACATCTCCGACTGGCTGCCTACACTTGTCGGCCTGGCAGGAGGAAACACCACAGGCACGAAGCCGCTGGACGGCTTCGATGTGTGGAACGCGATCAGGTGAGCTGGGCCGTTTTTTACTGTCAAGATCTGTCACAGGACTTGAGGGGGAAGTTGGCTGTAGCCTGGGGGTTTTTGTGAGTGATACCAGCTCTTAAGTTTGACAGCTTGCCCTCTCTTGGTGCCCCTTTCAGACCCTCCCCCACCCCCGCCCCATGCTCGCACTCTCCAGCTACCTCTGTCTTCTTCTCGTAGGAGCCCCTGCTTCTTCAATAAGCCCTTTGTTGCTGTGGCATTGAGAGCTCAAAGAGAAGGAAATTGCATCAGTCATTCTCACACAAATCTGTAGTCCGTCCATCCCTCTGTTCTGCCCCCCCCAGCTTCGCTTCAGACTAAAAATTAAGCTGTCCTCCTGTTAGATCAGCTAATTTGTTTTGCTGCAAATCCTTTTATGTCAGGACATGCCTGAGATGATGCAATTTTGTTAAATGTAATATGTTCAATTAAACGTCTGGATGACCTCTTGTGTTTTGGAGAACTTTGCAAAGAAGCTATTAGTAAATCGATAAGTCACACGGAGCAGCTTGCAGACCACAGATGTGCTTTCCATGTGAGGCGAGCTGTCACTGTGTCCCATTTGACTGATTCATTATATTTGTAAACTAAATGCGGACACAGTGAAAGAGGTGAAATTGAGGGCTACAGCAGAGCCCCGGCAGAAAATCGAGGCTTAGCCAGGACCGCAAACTACTACTCGCAGCCTCCACTTGACTCGATTGGCCGTTGCGTGTCAGCTGACCACCACTGCTGGCACGGCCGTGTGAGCAGCACTACAGGGCACAAAACGCTGCTTTCATTGTGTTTTAATTGGACGTCCCAGTTGCAGAAAACAGCAGCCCCGACAGCAAGGCCTGGGAAGGGTAAACCAAACGAAGGCCCAGAACAGGGAAGCACCCAGTGACAGAGTGAGACTTATTTCAGTTGTGTTATCAGTCAGTGTGGTCAGAGAAAGTGGTGCGTTTTCTCTGTGGTGGAGTGCGGTCAGCGCATATGACCGCCTGGTGAGCAACAGCCAGCTGCTTCAGATTTACAGAGCCCGGTGGGTTTCACAGCACATGAGTCAGCGTGGCGTGTTGGTTGTGTGTTCTCTTATTGAAGTGCAACACTGCTTTTATCTTACAGCAAAGGGTTTGCCTCACCCAGACTGGAGCTGCTGCACAACATCGACCCTCTGTATTATGACATTGCTCCGTGTAAGTTCACGTTTCTTTTTTCCACTTTAACATTATTGGAAATCTTTTTTTCAGTATGTCTGAAAATTTTCTCAATTAATTCAAACTGCTGATTTCACAGAATGTCCATTGTTAAAGTCAATTATGCCTTTCCCTAAAGGTAGAGTGAGTATTTTTTTTTAAGGTTATTTAATAGAAAAATAGAAGATTATACTGGAAATATGGATTGATTTGTGTGTAATAATGTCTTCAACCATCTGATACATTGTCATGAACTTAGAATGAATCCATTGAAAATACATGAGAGTGGGCAAGCTGGGGAAGCTGCTAAACAGCTACATGTATGATGTCATAAATATCAGATAGCCCTGATATGATCAACTTGGAAACACTGTTTCGACTGTGAGCACAGAAGCTCCACCTACCTGTTGTTTATTAAAGCTTTTGTTTATGAGGGTGCAGCTAATCACAATAGTGCTGGTTTAAAGGACTGGTGGGATGACCCCACTGGTGGGGAATGACCCCAAGAAGAAAATCTTCAGTGAAGCTAAATTGAATGTATATGATTCATTTAAAAAAATAATAGAAAGTATAAACTGACCATCACTGCTTATTCAGTTCAGTGTCTCCAGGTAGGTGGAGTCTATCCCAGCTATCATAGCGTGAGGTCAGGGTACACCCTGGACTGGTCGCCAGTCCATCAAAGGGCTAACACATCGTATAATTGTCTTTGGGCTGTGGGAGAGAATACCCTGAGACAGGCAAGCCCCGCAGAGAAAGGTCCCAGCTGACCAGTGGATGTGACTATTTTGAGCTTTTAATTATTCAAAACTATTTTGGTAGAGCTAATGAAAAAAGATACAGATCTAGAAATGAGTTTCCAAAGATCCATGTAACTCTTTATAATACAATAATTATGTTAAATTATTTTCTTTTCTGCACAGTGCAGATAATTAAAACATTATGCAGATTAGTTACATTCACTTGCATTTAAAAAAAAAAAAAAAAGTAATTAAGAGAAGTGATGGGCCCTGTGACGAACTGGTGACAGGTCTGGTGCTACCCAACCTCTTGCCCTATAACAGCTAGAGTATAGGTTGCTCGCCAGCGACCCTGAATTGAATAAGCAGTAAAGAACGATGGAGGGCTGACCTGTTATTGCAATAAATGTGACAGGTAATCATGATATGGATTTTAGCTGTTCTTAAGCGGCGCTGCTGTAAATCAGTCTGCTCGTCCTGTGCAGGGTCATGGGTATCTGGAGTGTACTCACATTGGGTCAAAGGTGGACTGCAGGCTGCCTGGCAGATCATCTGTTTATCGCACACTGCAGGCAGTTTAGTGTCACGGCTAAGCCTAACCTGCATGCTTGTGTACCGAGGATGAAACTCACACAGGCAAGCTTAAACACTCTTAGTCATAATTCACATGCCAGTGAAGGTTTAAGATGATGAAAACCTCATGCACTGACCTCCTCCTCTGTGTGCTTGCAGTGTAGGATATGTTCTCCTTTTCTTACTAACAATGTAATTCTGCTGTGTTTTCTCATTAAGCCTGTATGAAAGGATCATTGTTTGAGCTTAGACCTTAGAATAGAGTCTTATATAACATTTGAATAAAGCAAAAAGAGTGTTTGAAATTGTTAGGTTTGTAAAGAGTGTTTGGAATCTTAGTTAAAATGAGCTGAATCCAGAGAATTTTATCAGATTTTTTTTCCCCTCACTGTTTCGTATATAACAGATATTTTGTTTTCTTCTGAGGAATGCTGATAACACGGGGGTGAAACTCTAATCATTCACTGTTGACACTGTAATCAGTCGCCAGGGAGGAAATCTGAGAAAGCTGATGTTAGAGGGCAGGGCGGGTGTTCGCTCTTTAACCTCTGATTGTAGGGAGGTTTTACAGGAAATCTGCTATGGGACTGCTTTTTTTGGACTCATCCTTGTCTAAACCACTTAATATTTAGTGGACCAAACCGCTTCCATCTCTGGGGAGGTAGCAGGGCAGTTATCTGGGGCCGTGCTTTCTGACTTTTGGGGCGGATACTACACCTCAGTTACACATTTAAAAATAGTAAAGGTCCAAGGGGACTGAAATGGTTAAAAAAAAAAAAAATCCTGCTTATATAGCACCTTTTTAACCTTGGTGGTTTTTCCAAAATGCTCTAAAGTGTTTCTCCTACAGCATTTTTAAAGCAGCAGAGACCTACAAGGTGCCGTCCTGCCATAGGGAGCTACTTTTGGTTTAGTTTCTTGCCCAAGGACACGCAGACGTGTGGAGGAACTGCAACCTGAGCCACCAACCTTGCTATTAGTGGACAGCACACTCTACCAACTGAGCCTTGGTTGCTCTCTGTTTCTTTTTTTGCAAACTCTTTTGGGACTGAAAAGCTTCACAGATGTATCAGACAGATATTAATATGTTGATCAAACATATGTGAAACAAACAGTAGTCTTATGTATTAAGGGCTTTTCAAAATATTATCAATAATGTTGAGTTACGGGCCCCGGGGAGGCCAATCCATGACTTGTGTGTGTGTGCGTGTGCGTGTGTATTTCCAGGTATGCTTTTACTGTATTGCCAGTATATCTGCTATCAGTGTCACGCTGAAAAGAAGCCATTGTGAATCAGGTACTTTGGAGATGCTATTGCACAATGGATGAAAATCTGACGGTACTTTTCTTCGTTCGAAAGTCCTTCATTTTTCTTCCTAAAAACCACTGAATGAAATGCAGCCCAAAACCATGAAAGAGCCTCAACCATGTGTTACAGATGAGCATATAAACTCACGGGCCTCTACTGTCGACGTCTACTGACTGAAATTAGAATTCATGATCCCATAAGACCCACTGGCACTGATTTTCAGTCCACTTCTTGTGTGTTTGGCATCCCCAGTCTTCTCTCTCTGCTTGCCTTCCTTAAGAATGGCTTTTTGACAACCATCTTTCCATAGAGACCATTTCTGATAAGGCTTCAGTGAACAGTAGATGGGTGAATTGAAGACAGATGCTTTGCTCTGGTCCTGTGTTAGGTCTCTGTATGCTTTTTTTTTTTTTTTTTTTTTTTTCCTCTTATTTCTTAAAACTGTACAGCAGATGAACGATATCTGAAAGTCATGTCCATAAAGCCTGATTCTTATAATTTTGTCCTACTTGTCTTTTCCTCAAATTGTTTTAAAGGAACACTGCACACCATGGCAGGTTTTTGTCAGTTAATGCCTGTCAAACTGTTTGATCTTTGGCATTTTTCTTAGATTCAACTTAAGTAGTGAAAGCAAACTGTTTTTGTGACAGGCTGACAGTAACACAGTGCTGAAAGAGCCAATTAAAAATTGATTCTTTGCTAAGTTGTCTGTTGCATGTTCATACAATACTGATTTATTCCTCGAGTTAGATGTCTTTTTCATCCTTGACTGATAGATCAGTGTTAGGTATGCAGGTTAGGCTTAGACGTGACACTAAACCGCCTGCAGTGTGTTTATAAAATGGCAGTGTACAGGATTAGACTGAAAATGAGTTAAAAAGCAGACCGTGTCCCAAGAAAACATCTAAGAGTTTGGAGAACTTTTGCTCAAGATAACTATCAAGGACCAAATTAGGTCCTGGAAGCCAGATATAAAGAAATAAAGGATGGCTCAGGACTTTTACAAAGTACAGTATGTTCTGTCTTTAATGACGTGTAGTAGACATCAAAAATGAGGAAAAAAACAAAACAATATTAGCATCCATCAGCAGTTCTTTAGGGGCAACTGTGGGTTTAGATTAACTGGTTGCTGATGTCTTTGGTGGGCTGTTTATTGCTGAGCAGGGAGTATACTTTGAGTTTATCAGGGCCTCTTGTACTGAACTAACAAAAGTTTAAAGTTGCTGATTGTCAAACCAAAACAAGGAGCTTAAAGACACAAAAACAATCATTGAAAAAATGTAATGTGAAAGCTGTAATAGTTGGTTGCACCAAGCTGAGAGGAAGAAAACCAAAACCAAATACAAATATTGGTAAATGAAGCTTTAACTTAATAAAATCCCTCATTCGCAAACCTGTTTAAACGAATAATTCCAGAAAATCCAAACAGTGATTTATTGTCTGTTTTGAAACAGGCTGTTTGTACAGCTTCAGCCAGTGTTGCTCAAATTACCCTCAAAGTTTACTGGTGGTCATTAACATTTAAATCATTGGCTTGATAAGGAAAGCACTGCTTTACAAGCTTTCAACCTCATGTTTTATGTTTGAAAGTTTATTGTCGGCCACTGCTTTGACACCCACCCTCCCTTCCAGGCTGAAATTCTTCTCTTTTTTCCCCTTTTTCTTCTTTCCTATTATAACCCAGCCCCTCTTTGAGACCTCCCTCTCCTTTCCTTTCTCCTTCTCCTCTTCTCTCCTTTTCCTTCTCCTCTTCATGGTTTTTTTTTTTTTTTTTTTTTTCTCACTCCTTTCAAGTCTCTTTTTCAAAATCTTCTTTGCTGTCGCTTTGTGAGTAAAAGGATTGTGGCTAAATGGGCCACAGAGGGGTCGCTGAACTTCTCACTTGCTGAGAGAACGATTCCTGGACTTCACCCAAGCCTTAAATCACTCCTCAGCTCTCTCTCTAGAAACTTCTCTTGCTCACTCGGGGTCTCTTCCCACTGTTCCTCCCTCCCTCCCTTCCTCCTGTTTGTATGTCATCCTGCTGTGGATCCAGATGAGTGCAGCCTCCTTTGTCCTGCAAACAATGAATGTAAGAAATGGACATGTGTACATTGCGGGCAATCTGTTGGGGTTTGAGGTCCATTCCCTTTTTAAGAATGGAAGAAGAAGCTCGTGCGCAGCATAATTAATCAAACCTGTCAATCATTAATCACCTGCTTACATAACGGTGTTCACACCTGAATCTGAACACCCCATTCTTACGCAACCATGTGAGCGATGCCGATCTGAGATGAGCTGAGCAGCTTAGCTCTGCATTTGGAAGTGTTTGAGATTCGCACAACGATCAGCGAAGAATTCATTGTCGAAGCTTTTATCATGTGGTCGCAAAAAAGCTGAGATCGGAAATGTTTTAATTCCCTCACTCATGTTGCTGCGGCGGGGTCGGCTCTATTAAACAAGCCCCGATGGGGAACTTTGGCTTTGTGTGGGTGCGGATTTCTCTTTATGTGAAGAATGTTGAGGACATGCTTGTTTTTGACAGCGTTAGGAGGCTGAAATGACTTGTTTGTACTTGACTGTCTAACCAGGACCATATTGTTGGGGTCAACAGCGGTATGAACCTGAGAAGGCCAGATCTCCTGTGTTTGAAGGTGCGGAGATGTGTACTCACTTCTGGGAGACATTTTCCATAAGGGTTAGAAATACTCAGTGTTGGGCAAGTTACTTTGAAAGGGTAATTGGTTATAGTTACTAGTTACTACTTCAAAAAAAGTAACTGAGTTACAAGATTCTAAAAGTAATTAATTACTTGAAAAGTAACTATTGCGTTACTTTAAAAAAAACGTTTAACCCTCTGGGGTCCAGGGTATAATTGGCCATTTTTACTACTTTTGATGTTTCCTCTACATTTCACCTTTAAAAACTATTTACTTTGCCTTGTTTGGTATCATTCTTTTCAGCACAACCTCACGTGTCTGAATTTACAGTTATGTTTTCATTTTGACATACTGTATTAACACAATTGATCTAAAATCAGACAAAAAACATAAAATTCAGAGTAGAAAAAGTTATTTACTGTAACAACCACAAACATGTTTTGAATCATATTTCATAACTTTAAATGCAAATATAAATTGTCAATTTTAAAATCATATGCACAAGTTTTGCAAACAAAGTTATTTGCAGCCATTTACCTTTTACCTTTTTTAAATAACCATTTCAAACTATTTACAGAACAATCAGCTGTTCTGCATTCAATAAGATGCCACACAAATTATTTGTGCCACTCCAAAAAAATAATTTCTGTCCACTATAAAGGAGAACATCACAGCCTGATACCTGGAGACAGCAGTCACCTCATTGTTCTGACACACAACACAAAACTATCCACAACACTACACACTCCAAACACGCTAAACCTCACAAATCTCTCTCATTGTTTTGCCCCCTTAGCTCCAGGTGTTGTGCCAAAAAGTGATCGCTCCAGAAAGTGATTGCCGTCCGGGGGAGCGCGCAGCTGTTTAAAGCTGTAGCGCCCGGATTACTTACAGCTACTTCCGTGTAACTGATATAAGGTGCAGTAAGCTGAACACAGCTTCAACCGTCTGTTTGTTGAAAAATAGTAACGCGACCGCATTTTCTTGTTAGTAACCGTAACGGCGTTGAAACGATAGGAATAGTAATTAGTTAGATTAATCCGTTACTGAAAAAAGTAACGCCGTTACTTGTAACGCCGTTATTCCCATCACTGGAAGTTGCAGATATTTCTACACCATCAAAAGGAAGATCAGTTATTTACTTTGGCCCTATGAAACTGATAAAAGTGTGCTCATTGGTAACTGCGACCCTTGTTTCTGTCTTTGTGTCTGCACAACTGCACTAACAGCACATTATTCATTATATTTGGCAAACATGGAGCACTGGTGCTGAGTCGACCACATTACCACCGTATCTGTCAAATTCCTCCAGGCCCAAAGTTCTGTGTTTGCAGAAATGTATACATTTAAAAAAAAAACAACTTTTGTTCTCGAACAGGAGGGATTTTCATGGGGTTTGTTTATTTAAACTGTTCTATTTCACTGCAGATTTTGCAGCACAAAAGAGTCTGTTATTAGTACATTTATTTTCACACCCATCACCTGATACCAACTGTGATTGTCAAGTATGCTGATGCCAGTCTACCTTCTCATTTGGTTTCCGATCCACAGAAGGCGCTTTGTATCCAGGGGTGGACTAATATCATCTTAATCAGCGAAGTGTAGTTTTTAAGATGGATGGTTTCCTTGAATCAGCTCTGTCCTCTGTCCTCCTCTGTCTACAGGTCCTGGCAGGCAGCGCGAGTTAACTTTGGCTCAGGTGGCCAACTCCGGCTTCAATGTGTCCATTCACGCAGCCATTCGATCTTCAAAGTGGAAGCTGCTGACTGGGTACCCAGGTCAGTATCTTCTGTCACTTCTAATGTCATATTTAGTCTAAGTGGGACGTAGAATATGAAACACAGGAAGACATTAATTTCTTATCTTTATTTAAAAAAAAAAAAAAGAAAGAAAAAAAGAACTTAATACAATCAAACACTCCATCCCAAGTAAAAGTCCAACGTCATAAACTAGCAATACATGAAGTAAAGTTTGGTAGTAGCAAATATTTGAATATATCTTATGTAAAACGGTAAAGTTGTTGTTGTCAGAGCTGACAGCATGTCCTCATTGTGCAGGAGGAAAATGGTTCTCTCTTCCTTCATTGTTGAGACCCAGAGGCCATCTTTTATCTTCAGTCTGTGGTCTGGTCAATGAGCCAAAGTGCCATCAGCTGTGGCCCTGCCCACTGGGTACCACTTGGCCCATTACATTGTGATCACACTGTGGAAAATGTATATTTATATTGGGGGGGTAAAAATGTATTCTGGGTCTTGGAGGATTTTTTTTCCTTTTTTTTCTTTTTTTTTCTTTTTTAAATTATTGTTCTAATACCAATACTAAGTGATCGATCTAACCAGTAAGAAGCAAGTTGCCTTATGGCTCAGTCACACTAGAGTAAAAAGATGGCAGCCTTGTTGCCACTAGGAAAAGCAGTGGTTGCCTGGTCATTTTTATTTATTTAAATAATAATAATAATTTATTTATTTATTTTTCTGTCTGATCTTAAGTGGACCGGACCAGTGAAACTCCCCTTTCTGTCAGTAAAGAAGTTTAACTACACATTTAATCCCTGAGATAGTCTAATATAAGGAAAGTGCAATTTTAGCAGTGCGTCTCAGTTTTTGCACATGATAAAATTCATCTATAATAAGTAGGGCAGGAACAAAGAACAAACAAGCTGAACAGAAAATGCAGATGGGGTTTTCTTCCCTTCTTAACAATACTGCTAATGTCCTTTTTGTTATCCCCAGGGTGTGACGTTTGGTTCCCCCGACCTGACGGCAACACCTCCGACTCAAGCTCCTCTGAGGTGGATCAGCTGAAGCCTGTCATGCTGTTTAACATTGAAAAGGATCCAGAAGAGAGAAATGAGGTGTCTGCTCAGTTCCCCAAGGTAGTCGAGCATCTCCTCTGTAGACTAGAGCACCACCAAAAAAGTGCTCAGCCCATAAACTTTCCTGACGATGACCCTAGATGTGACCCAGGCCCCACTGGAGCCTGGGGGCCCTGGGCTTAGGCGGATATTACCGATATTGTAGTGTTTTGTTTACTGTGAATTACAACAGCAGGAATTTTCCTTTGTGGGGAAAGGTGAAGTTTTACAACAATTTTTGTTTGTTTGTTTTTAAAAGAGAACAGCCAATACCAAAGAATTCAGAAAGTGATTAACAGCAGCACCTTTACTCTGCCTTACATAAATCTGGTTACAGCGGATTAGTTTAAATGAATCAACACCGCTAATTGTCCCATAGAAGCAAAGGCTGAGGAGGGTGGATGGCAGCAATCTTTCACTCCAGACACTTAATTCATTTGGAAGCCTAATGTTTAGCCCCAACCATCCTTGCTGGAAAACTCAAAAACCAGTTTTATTTGTTATCTATCATCCACCTGGGCCTTACTCAGAGATTCTTATCTGCTCTCTCAGACGTTTTATCTTAGGCTGTATCAGGTTAGGGCTGGATCAAGTGACCCTGAATCCTCTTAGTTACTCTGCAACAGGTCTAGGCTGCTGGGGGCCCCTGATGGACTGAGTGTTTCTTTTTTCACTCACCGTGTGTTTATAAATCACTAGTTATTATTAATCTCTGTCGATCTTCACCAGTGAATCTTCGTCAGATCACGACCGGTTGAGGTATATAGTGCATAGTGTTGTCTCTGAGGGGAGCTACACTATACATTTGCATGTCTAGAATCTGAGCAGGAGAAACTAATTTCTTTCATATACGCATCCTCTTTGACCTTTGACCCCTAGGTGTTTGACCTTCCACTGAAAGCAGCATGCAGACTAGAGCAGGAAATGCTTCCTGCTGAGAGCAGGCGGCCGCTGTCCGAATGTGGGCCGCGACCCTTAACCTGCCCTGCATGTTGATTGACAGCTGAGCACAACAAACAACAATACTGCTGCTACAGAAAAACAGAGCCGTAGACCTATTTGTCATTAAGGAGTCAATGACGCTCCTGTTTTGTTTGTCACATTTCCCAAACTTGTCACCATAGAAACCAAAGCTGCAATGCTGTTTGCTCTCAGCTCCTTGCTCCATGTGACGTTTAACATATATCTTGCACTGTTACCCACTCAAATCTGTCCTTTAAATGTGAAGGTGGTACCAGGATATGCCAATACGTTTATGCAAAGTTGTGAGGGTTTGAACTCGTGTTTCAGTTTAAATGGTTTGTTTTGAAATGTGCTTTTGTTACGCTAAAAGCAAATCAGTGGATTGATTTTTGTTTTGTAATTTAACATAAGGAAATGGATACCTTGGCTTCCTTAATTTATAATTATTAATATTTTTTCCATAAATACCAGCACCACAAAAAGTCTGTATGAAGTATATTATCTTTATTAACATGTTTCCAAATCCTGGTCGGTGCGCCTAAATATGTGACGTCACTTTTTTTGTAAGTAAAAAGTACTTGAAATAAAAGAGTATAGTGTTTTGAGATTAATCTTTTACTGTGTTGCACAGTATAAAGCTGATTGAGAGTAAAGTATATTTTAAAACACTGTAAATCTCTTTTCTATCTGTTTTAATAGACTCAGTTTACTTCAATATCATCTCTTTAAAGCACAAAACTGATAATAATTCAAAAGTGTTACATTGACTTTCTCAGCGTCTTCACTTGTCTGTGGTCCAAAGTAAGTCCTACTTAGTTAAACTGAATTTTGATGCTTAATTGATGAGTGGCCTTTGAGATTTTTTAGGGCAAATTTCACTAAATTATTTATTAAATAACAGTCAGCCCAGATGGCATGCCCATGGCCCATGTCCACTGCCAATTTCTTACTTAAATTTTTAAAACCTACTCTACATTTTAGTTTTCTAAGTTATTTATTTGGTGTCTAAGTCTGTCATGGTACCACATGCTAAAGTAAAATGGCATTTGTGGCAGTTAAATGGAGTTCAAACTGGGATTTTGGTAACAGCAAATACCATAGTACCACATGATTATTTTATGTTTCTGAGAAAGTGCTTCTTACTTTGCTGAGGCTGTAAATTTGTCACTTTGTCAGTTTACTCTACAATCAAAACTCTGCGTTTCAGTATGATGGGATAGTCTATTTAATTAGACGTTACTAGTGTTTGCAATTCATGTAAAACCAGGGCCTGTAAGTTTCTCAGCTCGGCTGCAGACCACTTTTGCACTTCTCATGCCCCGTTTGTGGTGAAGTGCCCCTCCTGACAGGCTGCTCAGTCTTCCCCTACGTGTCATTATGATCAGGGTGCCCCTGCGGTGTCACAGCTCGTCTCCTCCTCATAGTTTTCAAAGTGGTTTTGGTGTGTCTTTCGCACTTAATTCTGCACTTTGACTCAACACCGTGAGTGTCGAGCACAGTCTTCAGCTCTGATGTGCCTCCGCTGTATCAACACTGCGATTCGCTGACTCTGATGTCACCCCACGTTGTTGTTTTTTCAGCTGCAATGACAAAGCTATGTGTGGCTCCAGAGAGATGCCCCTGAAAGATATGACAGGGTAAAGATATGATATCCCAGTGTTAGGCTCAGATGTTTTTCCAGTGAGCACATGTGGGACGCACACAAAAAAACAGGCTGCCACCCTTGATTCCTTTCTGGTATGCTCACAAGATGAGACTGAAGGTCTCACAGTCAAGTGGGACGAGAATTCCAAACAAGATTGTCTGTCTGTGCCGCCAGCCTGTGAAAACAGATTAAAATCATACTGACCAGTGCAGTCAGGAATGTGTTGAACCTTGAGCCTTGAAGAGGGGAAACCCAACGGCTTATCGCACCTAATTAAAAACGGCTATGTAGATATTTTGTACCGTATGTTGGTGAGGGTCCTAAAGGTGTTTGTGTGGGATATCGATGAAATTTTAAAAACTTTACATAAATAAAATGAGCACATTACATCAGCAAACAGTGGACTTTGAAAAACATCACACTTAATGTAATTTATATACACATTAACAGCTCTGTTGGGCTTTACTTAGCATTAGCACTGGGGCGCTCTCAGCTAAATGCTAACACATTGCTTTAACAAGCTAACATTTGCTCATTAGCTTCCTGCCAATGAACTTTTGGGACCACAGTCTTGTTTTTTTAAAGCTATCGGTTTACTTTTATTATGTGGCTTAAGATGGTTTTGTATTGTTCTGGTTTTATTGTATCTTTTCCTACCTCGGTCAACGAAATTTACTGACATTCAAAGAAAAACTTGCACATTAAAAGTACGCGATCTGTGAGAGATGCATCAGGTCACTGGGAGTGGTTTGACTGGAAAAAAGAGAGTGCTTATTCCAAGGATGATACTCACAGGGGGACTGCTGGGGTCGTACGAGGGTGAACAGCCAGGTGAGTTGCTGAGGTGAGTATTTCAGAAGGAACTGGTCAGCTGGAGACAGGTAAGTAGTCCTGGTAAGAGAACTGCTCTTTAGCCACACAGGGAATACCGGGAAGCTACAGCATCAGTTTGCAGGAACGCAGGGGCGCAATAAATCTCAGAGACAGGCAGAGAAGCTGAGTGCTGGAGGTGGTCCTTGCATACTGGCTGCTGATGAGGATGATTGGGTTGACAAGACTCCAACCTCGGCCGAAGCACCAGAACAAAAGCAAACCAGTGCGGGACTTTCTGAATTGTTTGAAAGCACTTCATAAATAAACTTTATTACTTGCAGTACTGTGCAGTATTTCATTGGTTCAAATGGTGGCCTTTACTGCTAGAGGAGCCAAAACTTTATCAGAAACCTTCATGCAATTTGTGATATGCTAATTATTGTTTATTTTCTGTTGGATGTTGTTCAGATTGGATCTATGTATCTACTTTAAAAAAACATGCACAATATATTCTGTAAGTCCAAGCTTTGTAGTTATAAAAGTAAATACCCAGGTACAGTTCAAATATGGGCTTATAATGAATTATAACACAGATTATGAGAATGATCCTGTTTTTAAAAGCTTAAGCTCAGCTCTCGGCTTTAAGATTTAGCAATACACTATGTGCCATTACAAAATCAATGCCATTCACGCAGTTTACTTTTTTTTCTTTCTTCCTGCATTGTCACACAGCTTAGTTTACCTTGTATTTATTTTGCAAATATGCCAGAAACATTTTTACATTTTCCCACCTTTTTCCCTATGTCCTCTCTGGAATTAGCACTTGTCGCAGTGTATGCTAAGGAAGAACACAGTAATTTGTGGGCTGCTATTTATAGAAAAAACAAAGCCTCTAAATGTAACTTCTTAATTGCTGCTTCTCATACAAGATTTTGCACTGAACAGACTGGAGACCACGTTGAGTGCGGTGCATTTTTGCACAAACTTGTAATTCACTTGTTTTGCCTCTGTTTAGCACTTTAGGCTACCCTTTCCTCTACATGGTGTTAACAACAGAACCATTCTACGATGTAAATCCTTTCTGTAATTATTCATTATTTATCTCAAGTTCTAAACTTGTGCGTTCATTGATGAAGAGTTGGATTCCTGGTACAAAGTCACTCAGATCTTAGAGAAGCTAACCTTGTAGATCAAACTAGATAAATTAAATTTACAGATTATAAGTTAAACTATTTCTACAGTGAATTTTTGCACTTTCAGTCTGGCTTTCAAACCAAAGGTCAGTCAGAGTAGCAGTGATCCCAAGAACTGAAAGGATAACATCAGGGCTGCTATTATTGTCAATAACTGCAGTTGTTTAGCCAGAAACTCCATGACCGAGTCATGGGACTTCCCTTGTATTTCCATTTTATTCCAGTTTCATTTGACTGACCAAGAAGCACAAATAGGTGGGGCACTAAAGTCCTGGCAGCAGTTGCTCCCCTCCTAGTCACAACACTCTCAAAATAGTGCATTCACACTTGTTCACTGTTGTGCAAAGTGCACACAAACATACAAAACTGTTTGAAACTATTGTTCTTCAAATGAACTGACTGAGCAATCTTACACTAACTCAACATATAATTCTATTGACAATGAAAAGAATATAAGACTGGAGATGCGAGATGGTCCATTCACATGTCTGAAAATATTGCAAGTATGGCTCTCTGCTGTGTAGCCTTCAGACTGTTGGACCTTCAGTATGTGACCCTTCTGTATTGATTGATGATGTGTCTAAGACTCAGCTGTTAGCCTCCCAGTCAAGGTTGAGCCTCAGATTTAGAGAGAATGTGACGGGTAGCCACAGTAATACTGTGTGAATGACTTGTCGATACAAAGTGAGTGTAATAAACGGACATTTTAATTGGGAAACAGTTCACCTTTTAGAAACATAGAAATTTCACATTTTTTAACCTTAACTGAGTTTTTACTTGTTTGACTTTTGCTTTTATGTTACAAGTAAAGGTCAATGGAGTTACTCAGATGAGAAAATATGGATAGAAACCATATAAACTCTGTAGCTGTAATAGTGTCCTATTTGTCTTACATAGTAAGTCATGGGAGGTCAGCTTTGGTGTTTGTTAATTTTTTATTAAATCCTCATGGAGGAGCAACTTGTAGTAACTGAATATGCCCTTGTTCACTTTTGACTAAAGAATATCACCCACCTGCTATATCCTTAATAGGTGTTGAGTCCTTTGTTATTGGCTATTTATTGTGTCACATACAAAGCAATCCCATTCTAAAAAAAAATACCCTGCTTTCCACCTTTTGATTTTAATAGGGACCATAATTTACACAATGAAGATGGTGTTGTTATGAGACTTGCAATTAGAACCGTAGACTCATCTGGAAAGTGTTTCATCATAAATCCAGTGAGCTGAAGGCTTGTTTTCTCTAAAGCTTTGATTAAACTCTGTTGGGGACACAGGCATGGACAGCTTGAAAAAATTACAGCCAAGAAGCGATTGCTGCTATGCTTCTAAAAAGTCCACTGCCTGGAGCTGTTGCACAGTTGGTACATTGTAATGTAACATCTCCACAGACGAGTCTCACAGTTTTAAAAAGATTGGCAGGTAAGTCCACATGGACCCACGCTCACTGTCTGATGAGGACACTATGTCGCTGATTCCTACAGACTCACAAACACGGAAAGTATAACTGTAGACTTAGACTACTGCTGTGAACCTTTGTAGAGCCTACAGTGTAACGCACGTAGTGGCCAATGCCATCGCCAGCATTCATGCTTGTGCATGATTTCCGTTACATCCGGGTTTTGTTTTTGTTTTTTTTTGTTTTTTTCTGCGGTACTAGAAACAAATAAATTCCTGGGACTTTGTCCCTCCTGGATCCCCACTGTTTGTTGTGATCAGTTTTTCTTTTCATACGTTCCTTCCTGTCCATTCCAATAGTTTCCGAAATCTCCCTCCAGGAATTTTTTGACATATGTGTGAGTCTTTATATTGAGGTTATAATTATGAGCTGTTATGACATAACTAAGGCATAGGTGTAACACAAAGGGGTAAATCTCCTTTCAGACTCCACGAGTCTCCTCCTATTGGTTATTCAAGAGAATACAGCTTTAAGGTATTCCCATATTAGCTACGTTTTCATATACAGTTGAGGGAAGTAACTAGATGCAAAAACCTTGATGGAATAACAGATCCAAATTAAAAGAAAATATCCCAAACAGATTATTATCCTTAGAACTTAACAAACTATCATGCACATTAGTGGGGGATTAATTACAATCTCACTCACACACACACACACACACACACACACAGCCCGTTCAGCTATCTTAGTGAGCACCTTCACTGAAATGATGGTTTCCCTAGCCCCTTACCCTAACCATTAAAAATGAATGCCTAACCATAACCGAATTGTAACCCTGACACTAAAACCACATTTTGAGCCTCAAAAAGGCCTTCAAACTTGTGAGGACCGGCGAGTGTGTCCTCACAAGTGACTGTTGGTTCTCACAAGTATAGTAGGATGCAGATTTCGGTCCCCACAAAGATAGCTAGACGGGAACACACACACACACACCCAGTTGCCCCTTTGAACAGCAGGTGGGTAGGCCTTATTAGAAATAACCATATTAGAAATATCTCCTCTGTGTGACATCATAAAGGTCCAAATTTAGAAAAGTTAAGAGTTTGCTGCCTGAGGTTTGGCCTCACAGGGATTACTGGTACATACTCTGACCTCATTATTTCAAACTTCAGCAATGTTTAATATTAGCACCCACCTCTGAAATAATCTATTTATAACAGAAAATTAAGGAAACACACATCAGGACTGCTTTAAATTACTTTAAATCATAATGGTTAGATATCTTCTTTACTCAAAAACAAGATTGTTCACTCTCCGTAAACATGAAGCAATAATTTTGACTAAAATGCAACTGAAACATATAAAACTCAAAGGTTTATGTATTCAAATACTTTATCTTTTAGGAAAATGTACTCGATATAAACTAAATGGATACCAATCACGTACATTTCATTTGACCAAATTTCATTAAATGTAACATTTTACATTGTACATATGTAAGAAAACATGGAAAAATTTACATATAATTAAATTGGCTAAAATCAGCATTTTGGGCAGAAATGTTTTGCCTGGTGCTTACAGGCTGATATACGACCCCTGAGTGAAGAAAGTCTATTTTTTCTGATATTAATACTTATTAATTAATACAGTGTTTTGTCCAGTTTTTCAAGTAGTTGGTGAAAAAAAATGAAAATACACCAAATTCAGAAATATATTGGTGACACATTAGACTACATTTAATACAATTAAAAAATTATCATCGGTTTTCAAGAGTCCGCTGAGAGTTGAAGAGAGGCAGTAACTGGTGGGTTTGGGGCGGGCTCTAGCGGAGCAGTCACTCCCATCCATCCTAACAGCAGTCCTGTCTGGGTAGAGGGTCGGACGCAGGGAGCCATTCATTCTTCTCCGGTGAAAACGTGGAGGAGGATGAATAGTCTGTGAGGGAGAAAATCAAACTCGAATCGAAACAGATAGTCAAGGCAAAACCTGCACAAACTTCAGAGAAGGCACAAAAAGAGATCATCCCACTGTGAGGATTTCACAGCTCCAGATCCGCGCCGACTGCAGCTTTTACACGTAAGTACGTGCGCAAAGGGGGAATGTTTTAAACAGTACTGTTCTTCCCCTAACAATGGAGTGGTTATTCTTTTCTGAAACAAGCCTGAAAGTGGAGAATCTCTTCCAGACGTAAGTGACTTTCACGGGACTTTGGCTGGATTTTGTATTTCTCTCGGAGCACTGACGGGGAAACTCGTGGCAGAAAAGCCGAGTAGTCGGTTTCTTTGCCATGTAATGAAGCGCACTGGGACCCCAAAATGATGTCACTGTGACACCAGTCTGTTGGGTTTAGTTCTTTTATTAAAAGTCTCACCCGCGGATGACGCACGCGATACAATAAAATGCGTAAATTTGAGTTGGGTTTTTTTTTAAGGTTAGATAAAACGATCATCAGTAGTTGTACCCATTTATGCAAATTCCAGTTTTAAAAATTAAAAATCCCTTCTTTTCTTGGTGTTTTGTTACACCTTGTTTGCAAGTTGTTAAGAACCATGAAACCTTAAAACTCTCATTTGGTCCTTAAAATGTCATGTGGTGGTGGTGGTGGTGATGATGATGATGGGAAATGTCACACAGGTCTTGTTTGCTCAATAGTCACAAGTCAGTTTACTGTCAAAGAGGTCGATATGCAACAAATCACATTTGAGAATCTTTGATAACTGATTCATCTTTGTGTGATCTAGCTCTAAAGCAACACAGCATGATTTTTATTAATATTTTTTCAATGAAAACGTGCCATCAAAAGGCGTCATTAACCCCAAACACCTGATCCCTGCCCGGATTTCCTGTGTCAGTGGGCATATTGAAAGTTTAAAGTTGCTACGCTATTGAAACTCTAAGAGAAAGTCTGTCAGCGGTCTTGACAAAGTGCTACACAGATCGTTGGCTTGTGTTTCAGCAGTAAACCTGAGAACCGGTTGAAACCTCTGAACCAGAGCCTGAGAGAGACAAAGAGCAGCGACAACTGGCTTTTGAGCTCTCTGCACACAATAGATTTCAAAAATGTTGTTTTTTGCTCTAATACATAGTATTGTTGTCACTTTATAGCTGGGAAGGTCTTGTTTATATTCTGTAACTTAATGATGCTTAGTGAATGAATGACTGCAGCATTAAAGACAGTGGTTGCTTGAGGTCCACTGTCAGGGCTTGCCAGTGGTTTGAGTTTATGTGCCAGCACACGTGGTCCCTCAGGGCTCTGTGTTTGGCCCATTAAAAAAAGGAAAGAAAAGCACGAGCTTCATTCGTTACAACCCGGCAGAACTCTCCTTTTCCCCCCATTCAGGCCACAAGAAAAGCAAAATTCTACCAATTTTTTTCTTTCCTTTGGAACAGTTCTTTCTTTTTTTTCCCTCTCCTTTCCTAGACTAAATGGTAAACTTTCAAAGCATGGGGGGAAAAAAAGACACTGCCTGTCTCCTTTCTCCCACCGATGCAGATGATGCAGTTGGCGATGCTTTTTAATGCACGATACGAAAACATAAAACAAGAGTTTTAACTGCTAAGCCATTTACGCAGACCACATCATCTGCCTTTCGTGCCTCTCTGAGCTTTGATGGTAGTGCCTTTGTCATTAATCCAGGATTCTGGCTGCAGTTTATGGGATTGGTCAGTATATTTCTCCTGGAATGAGGGCTATTTTCAGTAGAGGATTTTGATCTACATCTTCCCTGTGCATTTGGATCCTAAATAAATACTGTGAGAGTAAATGTTGCCCAGTGGTCTGCTGATAGAAATCAGACCTGGGCTCTATCAGTGTTCGCTTGAAACCAAAGCCAGGACCATAGTGTCACCATGACCAGAGTGTGAAATCCACTAATTGAACGGCTGCTCCCGTGTCAAAGGTTAAACCAGATGACTCCAGCAGGCTGGGATTAACATCTGGAATACAGTTTGTTCCAGCAGAGGCCTGCTGTGGATATCCTCCAGTGTAGATGGCCGAGATAACGAGGCCGGTTTATTTGCATGGCACTTCCTCGGACTACTGTAACTGCTGCACGTGTACGTTAGATCATTCGCTCACACATCTGTTTTTCCACAATCTGTGCTCTTTTTCATTCCTTTTTTGTCCCCCCCACCTCACCACCACCAATTGTATTCTTTTGTGTCTGCAAGTGTGGCCAGTAAAACTTTCAACAGGAGCATCCAGGAGGAAGCGCTCTATGAAACCAAACATCACAGGTTTTATTTAATATGCCTCTTGTTACCCTAAAGTTTGTTTATTTGCTTATAAAGTTGACGTAATGTGAGGAAGACAGTCTTAAAATCTTGACAAACCCAAAGTGGGTCACATTACGTTATACCGTTTCCATTCCAAGCTTCTAAAAAGAGTATTGAATTGAAAGCAGCCGTGAGTCTGACTTTTGTTGATTTTTTTTCATAGCATGGCCTCGGAGACAGGCTGCTTGATCAGTGCTAGGAGAACTGTCTTTCACAGTCTGACACAAAAGCAACTGAGATGTTTTGTCATGTGATCACATATTTTCCCCCGTTCTCCATCTTAGTGCTTTCACTTTTTAATTGATTAACGAACTTCAGTACCAGCTACTTCCTAAACTACCATCATTAATGTTGTAATCTGGTCTGATACTGACGACTAAAACAGTGTTTTTGGCTAAAAGATGGCTGTAACTTAAGTGAAGTCCTGTTTGGAAACCTTGAGATGACCGCTTTTCTCTGCCACCTTCTCGGTGAAACCTGATTTTGTGAGCAAAATGTGCTCATAGGCTAGCTTGTAAAGCTAAAGTTGTTAGCTAATACGTTTATGCCCTGGTGGCCACTGGAAGGAATGCATATTTAAGACACTTTCTTGTTGGCTTTACTTTTCATGCTTGGAAGCCATCTTTAATGCTGTTTTCATGTGTGCATAACTTTTAGACAACCCTTATTTAACAACTGATGAACGGTGGTTCCTTGTCCTGTCTTCTGATTTGTAAACACAACTTCAGAAGGGCACTGTGGTAATCTACAAGACTGACCTTTCCTAATGTGTCTTTAATGTTGTCAGAGCTTTTAAACCTAACTATGACTTTCCTAACTGACATTCCCAAAACTGACCAAAGTAAGAAAACAGCAAGGGAAAGTGACATTTACAAACGGTCCTCTTTATGAGTCAAACTCCAGTGTCATGGTTGAAAGTCACCTGTGCCCTCTCCACCCCACCTACCTCCTCAGATTCCTTAAGTGGGGTGTGCAAACACTAAGGCTGGTGGTTTTTCCTCTCATACTTCTTTGAAGTCCATGAGAAGGCCGCCTAAAAGGAGACATGCACAGTTGGTGCATTATAGTTCACTAGCATGGTCATAAGAAACTGTCACTCGCATGGATGTCTGCATCAAGCCTGGTGCTCGCCTTCTGATGATCCACGTTCTGTCACTAAAACCTAAGCACACCCAAGAAGATTCACATAAATGTGAATTCTGTTTTCCTCTGACTCTCTCCGCCCTTCATGCCCCCACATTGTTCCTGGAGATGAGTCTCTCCTGGGGGTACCTATGCTTCCAGCAGCTCTCCTGTTTACTGGGAAATCAGCATGGTGGGGTCACAATAAGAAATCCCTCATCTTACACTGGAAATAAAGACCTGTCCAAAGAAATGACTAGTAGAGGAAGGAGGAGTTGGTGGG